AGTTATGTCATATATGGCAGATGATGTTCTCTAGTACTTGTTTTCACTATTTAGATCACCGGGAGATATGGTGATAAATAAATACACTGCCCATCACATTTCCAGTAAATTATCAAGATCACGAAACATGTAAAGGCGAGAATAAATATCCAACAGGAATCATAGTTGGGGTGTCGTAGTTGACTGAACACTCTGTTCCCTATTGGCTGTTATTTGTTGTTTTATCCAATCACGCTAGGTAAGTGGATTACTGGACTTATGCACTATGTATGACACTTTGCGGGTCTCTGGGGAGTAAAGCACTTGGGAGGGGCTTCTTCCTCTAAGGGCGCCGGGCTGTCTCTGGGAAAAACCCCTGGCGGCTCAACCGCCCCTAAGTGGCTCTGGGAGTGCCACCTCCCGGGAGGATCATTAGGGGGGCCTGTTGAGGGCATTTTGGAGTCGTTACTGCCCCCTTGAGGGCCCCTGTCATTGAGGGCCCCCTGTGATTGCTAAACCTCCTGAAGGGACCCCTAACGGCTCCCTGGCCACTCTGGAGGCCCCAGGCGCAGCTACCCGAAAAGCCCCTGCAAGGGTGCCTGGGGCCGCCACGTCCCTGTGGAGCTCCTGGAGGCCCGCCACCCCTGGAAAGGGGTCTCTGTTGGCACAGCCTCCCCTGGGAGGGCCCCTTGGGGGTACCGCCACCCTAAAGGTCCCTGTTGTTGCCCCTGCTCCTGTAAGGCCCCTAGGGAGTTGCCAAACATGGAGGCACACTGGGACCGCCACCAGCTCCTGAAACGCCCTGGGCGCAATGGGAGGGACTGCAGGTACACTAATACCCTCGAGGCCCCTAGGGCGCTGCAACTGATATGGCAGATGGGAGGGCCCTAGGGGGTACTTGTTTTCCCACTATTTAGATCACTGGGAGATATGGTGATAAATAAATACCTGCCCATCACATTTGTATCATCGATCATGAAAAAAAATGTAAGCAGAATAAATATCCAACAGGAAAACATAAGTTGGGGTGTTGTGTTGACTGAACACTCTGTCTCTATTGACTGTTATTTGTTGCTTTATCCACCAATCACAAAGTTAGGTAAGGATTACTGGACTTATGCACTATGTATGACATAATTTGAGGGCTCCTGGGGAGGTGCTACCCTGGGAGGGCTCTCAGGGGCGCTGGCGCTTCTGGTAAAAACCCCTGGCGCAACTGACCCTGGTGGCACCTGGGGCACCACTGCGCTGGGACCCACACATGGGAGGTACACTGGGACCGCCACCGGCTCTGAAACGTCCCCTCGGGCGCCAATGGGAGGGACCGTGTGTACACCAATACCCCTCGGGGGGCCCCTAGGGGCGCTGCAACTGATATGGCAAATGGGAGGGCCCCAGGGGGCACTGTCTCTTTAGGGCCCTAGGGGGTACTTGTTTTCCCACTATTTAGATCACTGGGAGATATGGTGATAAATAAATAGGCTGCCCATAACCTATCCAGTACCATCGCATCATGAAAAATGTAAAGGAGAATAAATATCCAACAGGAAAACATAAGTTGGGGTGTTGTGCTGACTGAACACTCTGTTCCCCTATTGGCTGTTATTTGGTTGCTTTATCCACCAATCGCAGTTAGGTAAGTGATTACTGGACTTATCCACTATGTATGACACCTGTCAGAGGGCCCCTGGGGGAAATGCCACCCCTGGGAGGGCCTTTAGGGGCTCCGGCGCTTCTGGGAAAACCCCTGGCGGCTCAACCGGCCCTGGGCGGGTCCCTGGGGGCGGCACCGGCCCTGGGATGACGCTTCGGGGCGCTGTCGCCCAAGGGAGGACCCTTGGGGTCGTTGCCGCCTCTTGGAGAGCCCCCGTCACTCCTGGGAGGGCCCTTGTGGATTATGACGCCCCTGGGAGGGACCCTGACGGCTCTGCCACCCCTGGGAGGGCCCTTGTGTGCGCCAGGGCCCCAGGAAAAGACCGTGAAAGGGAACCTGGGGTCGTTGCCAACCCTGTGGGGCTCCTGGAGGCTCCGCCACCCCTGGAAGGGCCCCTGCGGGCGCCGTCTCCCCTAGGAGGGCCCCTTGGGGCGCTGCCACCTTTGGAAGGGTCCCTGTTGTTGCCCCCGTCCCTGTAAGGGCCCCTGGGGATGCTGCCACACATGGAAGGTACACTGGGACCGCCACCGGCTCTGAAAAGTCCCCTCGGGCGCCAATGGGAGGGACCCTGTGTACACCGATACCCCTCAGGGGACCCATAGGGGAGCTGCAACTGGTACAGCAAATGGGAGGGCCCCAGGGGGCACTGTCTTTTTAGGGCCATAGGGGGTACTTGTTTTCTCACTATTTAGATCACTGGGAGATATGACGTTAAAAAAATACACTGCCCATCACATTTCCAGTATCATCACATCACGAAACATGTAAAGGAGAATAAATATCCAACAGGAAAACATAAGATGGGGTGTTGTGCTGAATGAACACTCTGTTCCCCTATTGGCTGTTATTTGGTTGTTTATCCACCAATCACAGTTAAGTAAGTGATTACTGGACTTATGCACTATGTATGACACCTTTTAGAGGGCCCCTGGGAGAGGTACCACCCCTAGGAGGACGTTTGGGGTCGCTGTCGCCCAAGGGAGGGCCCTTGGAGTCGTTACCGCCTCTTGGAAGGCCCCCGTCACTACCAGGAGGGCCCCTGTGGATTACCACGCCCCTAGGAGGGACCCTAACGGCTCCGCCACCCCTGGGAGGGCCCTTGTGGGCGCCGGGGCCCCTGGAAAAGCCCCTGAAGGGGAAGCCTGGGGTAGTGGCCAACCCTGTGGAGCTCCTGGAGGCCCCGCCACCCCTGGAAGGGCCCCTGCGTGCGCCGCCTCCCCTAGGAGGGCCCCTTGGGGCGCTGCCACCTTTGGAAGGGTCCCTGTTGTTGCCCCCGTCCCTGCAAGGGCCCCTGGGGATGCTGCCACACATGGGAGGTACACTGGGACCGCCACCAGCTCTGAAAAGTCCCCTGGGCGCCAATGGGAGGGACCCTGTGTACATCAATACCCCTCGGGGGCCCCTAGCGGCGCTGCAACTCATATGGCAAATGGGAGGGCCCCAGCTAGCACTGTCCTTTTAGGGCACTAGGGGGGTACTTGTTTTCCCACTATTTAGATCACTGGGAGATATGACGTTAAATAAATACACTGCCCATCACATATCCAGGATCAATGATCACGAAACATAAAGGAGAATAAATATCCAACAGGAAATCATAAGTTGGGTGTTGTGCTGACTGAACACTCTGTTCCCCTATTGGCTGTTATTTGGTTGCTTTATCCACCAATCACAGTTAGGTAAGTGATTACTGGACTTATGCACTATGTATGATACCTTTTAGAGGGCCCCTGGGGGAGGTGCCACCCTGGGAGGGCCCCTAAGGGCGCCGGCTGTTCTGGGAAAACCCCTGGCGGCTCAACCGGCCCTGGGCGGGCCCCTGGGAGCGCCACCTCCCCTGGGAGGACGCTTGGGGGGGCTGTCGCCCAAGGGAGGGCATTTGGAGTCGTTACCGCCTCTTGGAGGGCCCCCGTCACTACTGGGAGGGCCCCTGTGGATTACCACCCCCCTGGAAGGGACCCTAACGGCTCCGCCACCCCTGGGAGGGCCCTTGTGGGCGCAGCGGCACCTGGAAAAGCCCCAGAAGGGGAAGCCTGGGGTCATTGCCAACCCTGTGGAGCTCCTGGAGGCCCCGCCACCCCTGAAAGGGCCCCTGCGTGCGCCGCCTCCCCTAGGAGGGCCCCTTGGGGCGCTGCCACCTTTGGAAGGGTCCCTGTTGTTGCCCCCGTCCCTGCAAGGGCCCCTGGGGATGCTGCCACACATGGGAGGTACACTGGGACCGCCACCAGCTCTGAAAAGTCCCCTGGGCGCCAATGGGAGGGACCCTGTGTACATCAATACCCCTCGGGGGGCCCCTAGCGGCGCTGCAACTGATATAGCAAATGGGAGGGCCCCAGCTAGCACTATCCTTTTAGGGCACTAGGGGGTACTTGTTTTCCCACTATTTAGATCACTGGGAGATATGACGTTAAATAAATACACTGCCCATCACATATCCAGGATCATCGCATCACGAAACATGTAAAGGAGAATAAATATCCAACAGGAAATCATAAGTTGGGGTGTTGTGCTGACTGAACACTCTGTTCCCCTATTGGCTGTTATTTGGTTGCTTTATCCACCAATCACAGTTAGGTAAGTGATTACTGGACTTATGCACTATGTATGATACCTATTAGAGGGCCCCTGGGGGAGGTGCCACCCCTGGGAGGGCCTCTAGGTGCGCCGGCTGGTCTGGGAAAACCCCTGGCGGCTCAACCGGCCCTGGGCGGGCCCCTGGGAGCGCCACCTCCCCTGGGAGGACGCTTGGGGGCGCCGTCGCCCAAGGGAGGGCATTTGGAGTCGTTACCGCCTCTTGGAGGGCCCCCGTCAATACTGGGAGGGCCCCTGTGGATTACGACCCCCCTGGAAGGGACCCTAACGGCTCCGCCACCCCTGGGAGGGCCCTTGTGGGCGCAGCGGCACCTGGAAAAGCCCCAGAAGGGGAAGCCTGGGGTCATTGCCGTCCCTGTGGAGCTCCTGGAGGCCCCGCCACCCCTGAAAGGGCCCCTGCTGGCACCGCCTCCCCTAGGAGGGCCCCTTGGGGCACTGCCACTTTTGGAAGGGTCCCTGTTGTTGCCCCCGTCCCTGCAAGGGCCCCTAGGGATGCTGCCAAACATGGGAGGTACACTGGGACCGCCACCAGCTCTGAAACGTCCATTGGGGCGCCAATGGGAGGGACCGTGTGTACATCAATACCCCTCGAGGGGCCCCTAGGGGCGCTGCAACTGATATGGCAGATGGGAGGGCCCTAGGGGGTACTTGTTTTCCTACTATTTAGATCACTGGGAGATATGGTGATAAATAAATACACTGCCCATCACATTTCCAGTACCATCGCATCATGAAAAATGTAAAGGAGAATAAATATCCAACAGGAAAACATAAGTTGGGGTGTTGTGCTGACTGAACACTCTGTTCCCCTATTGGCTGTTATTTGGTTGCTTTATCCACCAATCACAGTTAGGTAAGTGATTACTGGACTTATGCACTATGTCTGACACAATTTGGAGGGCCCCTTGGGGAGGTGCCACCCCTGGGAGGGCCCTTAGGGGCGCTGGCGCTTCTGGGAAAACCCCTGGCGGCGCAACCGACCCTGGGTGGGCACCTGGGGGCACCACCGTGCCTGGGACGCCGCTTATGGGCGCTGTCGCCCAGGGGAGGGCCCTTGGGGTCGTTACCGCCTCTTGGAGGGCCCCCGTCACTACTGGGAGGGCCCCTGTGGATTACCACGCCCCTGGAAGAGACCCTAACGGCTCCGCCACCCCTGGGAGGGCCCTTGTGGGCGCAGGGGCTCCTGGAAAAGCCCCAGAAGGGGAAGCCTGGGGTCATTGCCGTCCCTGTGGAGCTCCTGGAGACCCCGCCACCCCTGAAACGGCCTCTGCTGGCGCCGCCTCCCCTAGGAGGGCCCCTTGGGGCACTGCCACCTTTGGAAGGGTCCATATTGTTGCCCTCGTCCCTGCAAGGGCCCCTGGGGATGCTGCCACACATGGGAGGTACACTGGGACCGCAACCGGCTCTGAAACGTCCCCTCGGGCGCCAATGGGAGCGACCGTGTGTACACCAATACCCCTCGGGGGGCCCCTAGGGGCGCTGCAACTGATATGGCAAATGGGAGGGCCCCAGGGGGCACTGTCCCTTTAGGGCCCTAGGGGGTACTTGTTTTCCCACTATTTAGATCACTGGGAGATATGGTGATAAATAAATAGGCTGCCCATAACCTTTCCAGTACCATCGCATCATGAAAAATGTAAAGGAGAATAAATATCCAACAGGAAAACATAAGTTGGGGTGTTGTGCTGACTGAACACTCTGTTCCCCTATTGGCTGTTATTTGGTTGCTTTATCCACCAATCGCAGTTAGGTAAGAGATTACTGGACTTATCCACTATGTATGACACCTGTCAGAGGGCCCCTGGGGGAAATGCCACCCCTGGTAGGGCCTTTAGGGGCTCCGGCGCTTCTGGGAAAACCCCTGGCGGCTCAACCGGCCCTGGGCGGGTCCCTGGGGGCGGCACCGGCCCTGGGATGACGCTTCGGGGCGCTGTCGCCCAAGGGAGGACCCTTGGGGTCGTTGCCGCCTCTTGGAGGGCCCCCGTCACTCCTGGGAGGGCCCTTGTGGATTATGACGCCCCTGGGAGGGACCCTGACGGCTCTGCCACCCCTGGGAGGGCCCTTGTGGGCGCCAGGGCCCCTGGAAAAGACCGTGAAAGGGAACCTGGGGTCGTTGCCAACCCTGTGGGGCTCCTGGAGGCTCCGCCACCCCTGGAAGGGCCCCTGCGGGCGCCGTCTCCCCTAGGAGGGCCCCTTGGGGCGATGCCACCTTTAGAAGGGTCCCTGTTGTTGCCCCCGTCCCTGTAAGGGCCCCTGGGGATGCTGCCATACATGGAAGGTACACTGGGACCGCCACCGGCTCTGAAAAGTCCCCTGGGCGCCAATGGGAGGGACCCTGTGTACACCGATACCCCTCAGGGGGCCCAAAGGGGAGCTGCAACTGGTACAGCAAATGGGAGGGCCCCAGGGGGCACTGTCTTTTTAGGGCCATAGGGGGTGCTTGTTTTCCCACTATTTAGATCACTGGGAGATATGACGTTAAATAAATACACTGCCCATCACATTTCTAGTATCATCACATCACGAAACATGTAAAGGAGAATAAATATCCAACAGGAAAACATAAGATGGGGTGTTGTGCTGAATGAACACTCTGTTCCCCTATTGGCTATTAGTTGGTTGTTTATCCACCAATCACAGTTAAGTAAGTGATTACTGGACTTATGCACTATGTATGACACCTTTTAGAGGGCCCCTGGGAGAGGTACCACCCCTAGGAGGACGTTTGGGGTCGCTGTCGCCCAAGGGAGGGCCCTTGGAGTCGTTACCGCCTCTTGGAAGGACCCCGTCACTACTAGGAGGGCCCCTGTGGATTACCACGCCCCTGGAAGGGACCCTAACGGCTCCGCCACCCCTGGGAGGGCCCTTGTGGGCGCCGGGGCCCCCGGAAAAGCCGCTGAAGGGGAAGCCTGGGGTAGTGGCCAACCCTGTGGAGCTCCTGGAGGCCCCGCCACCCCTGGAAGGGCCCCTGCGTGCGCCGCCTCCCCTAGGAGGGCCCCTTGGGGCGCTGCCACTGAAGGGGGTCCCTGTTGTTGCCTGTCCCCTGCAAGGCCCCTGGGGATGCTGCCACACACAGGTACACACTGGGGCCCGGCCACTCAGTTTCTGAAAAGTCCCCCTGGGCGCCAATGGAGGGACCCCAGGTACATCACGACTGGGGGTTCCCTCCATGCGCTTGCAAACTGGGATATGGCAAATGGGAGGGCCCCAGCCAGCACCGTCCACGAAAATTAGGGGGTAATGAGTTTTCCCACTATTTAGATCATCAAGATATGACGTTAAATAAATAATACACTGCCCATCACATATCCAGGATCATCGTGTGACTGTCAAACATGCAAGGAGAATAAATATCCAACAGGGAAATCACAAGTTGGGGTGTTGTGCTGACTGAACACCTGTTCCATTGGCTGTTATTTGTTGCTTTATCCACCAACCGCGAAGTAGTAAGTGATTACGTGGACTTATGCACTGCGTATGAGGCTTCAGAGGGGTTTCTGGGAGGTGCCACCCCTGGGAGGGCCCCTAGGGGCGCCGGCTGTTCTGGGAAAACCCCTGACGGCTCAACCGGCCCTGGGCGGGCCCCTGGGAGCGCCACCTCCCGTTGGAGAACGCTTGGGGGCGCTGTCGCCCAAGGGAGGGCATTTGGAGTCGTTACCGCCTCTTGGAGGGCCCCCGTCACTACTGGGGGGGCCCCTGTGGATTACCACCCCCCTGGAAGGGACCCTAACGGCTCCGCCACCCCTGGGAGGGCCCTTGTGGGCGCAGCGGCACCTGGAAAAGCCCCAGAAGGGGAAGCCTGGGGTCATTGCCGTCAATGTGGAGCTCCTGGAGGCCCCGCCACCCCTGAAAGGGCCCCTGCTGGCACCGCCTCCCCTAGGAGGGCCCCTTGGGGCACTGCCACCTTTGGAAGGGTCCCTGTTGTTGCCCCCGTCCCTGCTAGGGCCCCTGGGGATGCTGCCAAACATGGGAGGTACACTGGGACCGCCACCGGCTCTGAAACGTCCCCTGGGGCGCCAATGGGAGGGACCGTGTGTACACCAATACCCCTCGAGGGGCCCCTAGGGGCGCTGCAACTGATATGGCAGATGGGAGGGCCCTAGGGGGAACTTGTTTTCCTACTATTTAGATCACTGGGAGATATGGTGATAAATAAATACACTGCCCATCACATTTCCAGTACCATCGCATCATGAAAAATGTAAAGGAGAATAAATATCCAACAGGAAAACATAAGTTGGGGTGTTGTGCTGACTGAACACTCTGTTCCCCTATTGGCTGTTATTTGGTTGCTTTATCCACCAATCACAGTTAGGTAAGTGATTACTGGACTTATGCACTATGTATGACACAATTTGGAGGGCCCCTGGGGGAGGTGCCACCCCTGGGAGGGCCCTTAGGGGCGCTGGCGCTTCTGGGAAAACCCCTGGCGGCGCAACCGACCCTGGGTGGGCACCTGGGGGCACCACCGTACCTGGGACGCCGCTTATGGGCGCTGTCGCCCAGGGGAGGGCCCTTGGGGTCGTTACCGCCTCTTGGAGGGCCCCCGTCACTACTGGGAGGGCCCCTGTGGATTACCACGCCCCTGGAAGGGACCCTAACGGCTCCGCCACCCCTGGGAGGGCCCTTGTGGGCGCAGGGGCTCCTGGAAAAGCCCCAGAAGGGGAAGCCTGGGGTCATTGCCGTCCCTGTGGAGCTCCTGGAGACCCCGCCACCCCTGAAACGGCCTCAGGCTGGCGCCGCCTCCCCTAGGAGGGCCCCTTGGGGCACTGCCACCTTTGGAAGGGTCCATATTGTTGCCCCCGTCCCTGCAAGGGCCCCTGGGGAAGCTGCCACACATGGGAGGTACCCTGGGACCGCCACCGGCTCTGAAACGTCCCCTCGGGCGCCAATGGAGGGACCGTGTGTACACCAATACCCCTCGGGGGGCCCCTAGGGGCGCTGCAACTGATATGGCAAATGGGAGGGCCCCAGGGGGCACTGTCCCTTTAGGGCCCTAGGGGGTACTTGTTTACCCACTATTTAGATCACTGGGAGATATGGTGATAATAAATAGGCTGCCCATAACCTTTCCAGTACCATCGCATCATGAAAATGTAAAGGAGAATAAATATCCAACAGGAAAACATAAGTTGGGGTGTTGTGCTGACTGAACACTCTGTTCCCCTATTGGCTGTTATTTGGTTGCTTTATCCACCAATCGCAGTTAGGTAAGTGATTACTGGACTTATCCACTATGTATGACACCTGTCAGAGGGCCCCTGGGGGAAATGCCACCCCTGGGAGGGCCTTTAGGGGCTCCGGCGCTTCTGGGAAAACCCCTGGTGGCTCAACCGGCCCTGGGCGGGTCCCTGGGGGCGGCACCGGCCCTGGGATGACGCTTCGGGGCGCTGTCGCCCAAGGGAGGACCCTTGGGGTCGTTGCCGCCTCTTGGAGGGCCCCCGTCACTCCTGGGAGGGCCCTTGTGGATTATGACGCCCCTGGGAGGGACCCTGACGGCTCTGCCACCCCTGGGAGGGCCCTTGTGGGCGCCAGGGCCCCTGGAAAAGACCGTGAAAGGGAACCTGGGGTAGTTGCCAACCCTGTGGGGCTCCTGGAGGCTCCGCCACCCCTGGGAGGGCCCCTGCGGGCGCCGTCTCCCCTAGGAGGGCCCCTTGGGGCGCTGCCACCTTTGGAAGGGTCCCTGTTGTTGCCCCCGTCCCTGTAAGGGCCCCTGGGGATGCTGCCACACATGGAAGGTACACTGGGACCGCCACCGGCTCTGAAAAGTCCCCTGGGCGCCAATGGGAGGGACCCTGTGTACACCGATACCCCTCAGGGGGCCCATAGGGGAGCTGCAACTGGTACAGCAAATGGGAGAGCCCCAGGGGGCACTGTCTTTTTAGGGCCATAGGGGGTACTTGTTTTCCCACTATTTAGATCACTGGGAGATATGACGTTAAATAAATACACTGCCCATCACATTTCCAGTATCATCACATCACGAAACATGTAAAGGAGAATAAATATCCAACAGAAAAACATAAGATGGGGTGTTGTGCTGAATGAACACTCTGTTCCCCTATTGGCTGTTATTTGGTTGTTTATCCACCAATCACAGTTAAGTAAGTGATTACTGGACTTATGCACTATGTGTGACACATTTTAGAGGGCCCCTGGGAGAGGTACCACCCCTAGGAGGACGTTTGGGGTCGCTGTCGCCCAAGGGAGGGCCCTTGGAGTCGTTACCGCCTCTTGGAAGGCCCCCGTCACTACTAGGAGGGCCCCTGTGGATTACCACGCCTGGGACTCGAAAGGCCTGCGAGGGCCTGGCGCCGGGGCCCTGGAAAAGCCCCCAAAGGGAAGCTCGATAGTGGACCCCTGAGCCCTGAGGCCCTGCCACCCTGGAAGGGCCGTGCTGCCCCTAGAGGGCCCCTGGGGCGCACCACCTTGAAGAGGTCCCTGTTGCCCCCTGTCCTGTGGCCCCTGGAGATGCCACACAGGAGGAACACCGCCACCAGCTCTGAAAACCCCGCCAATGGAGGGACCCTGTACATCAATACTCGCAGTTCCTACGGCGTCATAATATGGCAAATGGAGGGCCCCAGCTAGCAATTGTCCCTTTAGGGCACTAGGGGGATTGTCCCCTAATTAGATCACTGGAGTGACGCAAAAAACACTGCCCATCACATTTCCAGTATCATCACATCACAAACATGTAAAAATAAATATCCAACAGGAAATCACAAGAGTGTTGTGCTGACTGAACACTCTGTTCCCCTATTGTTATTTGTTGTTTTATCCACCAATCACAGGTTGATTACTGGACTTATGCACTATATGATACCTTTTAGAGGGCCCCTTGGGAGGTGCCACTGGGAGGTCCCTGGCCATTGTTCTGGGAAAACCCCTGGTGATCAACTCCCATGGCCTGGAGCCACCTCCTGAGGACGCTTAGGGTTGTCGCCCAAGGGAGGCATGGGAGCACGCCCTAGGGGCCCCCGTCACTACGGGAGGGCCCTGTGATTACCCTGGGACCTAAACTGCCCGCCACCTAGGCCCCTGTGCAAGAGCGGCACCTGAAAGCCCCAGAAGGGCCGGGGCTGCAGTCCCGTGGAGTCCTGGAGGCCCACACCCCCTGAGGTCCCCTCCTGGCACCAGGCCTCCCTAGGGCCTTGGGCGTCCCTGTTGTTCCCGTCCCTGCAAGGCCCCCAGGATGCTGCCAAACATGGAGGTACACCCCGGGGATCCCACCGCTCTGAAACGCCCTGGGGCGCCAATGAGGGACCCAGGTAACCAATACCCCTCGAGGCCTAGGGCGCTGCAACTGAGCAGATAGGCCCTAGGGGGTACTGGTTCCCACTATTTAGATCACTGTGAGATACGGTGATAACAACATACACTGCCCCACACATCCTGCACCACGCATCATGAAAAAATGTGGAGAATAAATATCCAACAGGAAACATAAGTTGGTGTTGTGCTGACTGAACACTCTGTTCCCTATTGGCTGTTATTTGGTTGTTTTATCCACCAATCACAGTTAGGTAAGATTACTGGACTTATGCACTATGTATGACACAATTTGGAGGGCCCCCTGAGGTTCTAGGGGCGCTGGCGCTTGAAATGGGCGGCAAGACCGACCCTGGTAGGCACCTGGGGACCCAACACCCGAGTCAGACGCTGCTTATGGCGCTGTCGCCCAGGGAGGGCCCCACGGGGTCGTTACACGCCTCTGAGGCCCCTCGTCACTACTGGGAGGCCCCTAGGATTACCACGCCCCTGGAAGGGACCTAACGGCTCCACACCGAGGGCCTCAGGGGCGAGGCTCCTGGCCTGGGCTGTTGCCCCTGTGGAGCTCCTGGAGACCCCGCCACCCCTGAACGGCCCTCGCTGGCGCTGCCTCCTAGGAGGGCCCCTTGGGCACTGCCACCTTGAAGGGTCCATATTGTTGCCCCTGTCCCTGCAAGGCCCTGGGATGCTGCCAGCGCCATGGGAGGTACACTGGACTGCAACTGATGCCTGTGTACACCATCCCTGGGGTCCCTTAGGGCGCTGCAACCTAATATGAAAGGGAAGGGCCCCAGGCACTGTCTTTAGGGCCCTAGGTACTGCCACTATTTAGATCACTGGGAGATATGGTGATAAATAAATAGGCTGCCCATAACCTATCCATTACCATCGACATGAAAATGAAGGAGAATAAATATCCAACAGGAAAACATAAGTTTGTGCTGATCAAACACTCGCTACCTCATGGCTGTTATTTGGTTGTTTTATCCACCAATCGCAGGGTAAGTGATTACTGGACTTATCCACTATGTATGACACCTGTCAGAGGGCCTCGGGGAAATGCCACCCCTGGAGGAGTTCTTTGGGAAAACCCCTGGCTCAACCGCCCCTGGGCGGATCCCTGGGGGCACCGCCCCATGATTGCGCGTCGCCTTCGAAGGAGGACCTCGTTGCCGCTCTTGAGGGCCCCCGGCCACTCCTGGGAGGGCTTGTGGATTATGACGCCCCTGAGGGACCCTGACGGCTCTGCCTGAGGGCCTCGTGGCGCCAGGCCTGAAAGTGGAACCTGGGGTCAGCAACCCAGGGCCTGGAGGCCAAACCCTGGAAGGTGGGCTGTCTCCCTAGGAGCCTCGGGGGCGCTGCCACCTTGGAAGGGTCCCTGTTGTTCTGTCCCTGTAACCTGGGGATGCTGCCACACATGGAAGGACGGGACCACTGCTCTGAAAAATCCCCCAATGGGAGGGACCCCGGTACACCGATACTCAGGGGCTACAGGAGCTGCAACTGGTACAGCAATGGGAGAGCCCTAGCACTGTCTTTTAGGGCCATAGGGGGCAACTTGTTTTCCACTATTTAGATCACTGAGATATGACGTTAAATAAATACACTGCCCATCACATTTCAGTATCATCACATCACGAAACATGAAGGAGAATAAATATCCAATAGAAAATCATAAGATGTTTGTGCTGAATGAACACTCTGTTCTATTGGCTGTTATTGTGCTGATCCACCAATCACAGTTATAAGTGATTACTGGACTTATGCACTATGTATGACACCTTTAGATGGCCCCTGGTACCACCCCCTAGGAGGAGCGTTCTGCTGTCGCCTGCCAAGGGCCCTTGGAGTCAGCTACCGCCTCTTGGAAGGCCCCCGTCACTACTAGGCCCCTTGACACGCCTGGAAGGACTAGAGGGCCCCTGTGCCGGCCTGAAAAGCCCCTGAAGGGGGAAGCCTGGGTAGTGGCCAACCCCTGTGGAGCTCCTGGAGGCCCCCCACCCCTGAAAGTCCGTGTTCTAAGGAGGGCCCCTCTGCCAACTTTGGAAGGGTCCCTGTTGTTCTGTCCCTGAAAGGCCCCTGGATACACATGAGGTACACTGGGACCGCCACCAGATTGGAAAGTCCCTGGGCGCCAATGAGGGACCCTCAAAAAGAATACCTCAACTGATATGGCAATGGGAGGCCCCCAGCTAGCACTGGGGCCTAGCACTGTTTCCACCATTTAGATCATGGGAGATATAACGTTAAATAAATACAATGCCCATCATACTCCCAGTATCATCACATCACGAAACATGTAAAGAGAATAAATATCCAACAGGAAATCATAGTTGTGTTGTGCTGACTGAACACTCTGTTCCCTATTGGCTGTTATTTATTGCTTTATCCACCAATCACAGTTAGTAGTGATTACTGGACTTATACTAGGATAATTTTAGAGGGTTCCCCGAGAAGGAGATTCTGAGGCTCCCTTAGGGCGGGCTGTTCTGGGAAACCCTGGCGAGGCCAACCACTCCCTGGCCCCTGAGCGCCACCCCTGTTGAGGACGCTTAGCTGCCCGGGAGGGCATTTGGAGTCGTTACCGCCTCTTGGAGGGCCCCCGTCACTACTGGGAGGGCCCCTGTGGATTACCACCCCCCTGGAAGGGACCCTAACGGCTCCGCCACCCCTGGGAGGGCCCTTGTGGGCGCAGCGGCACCTGGAAAAGCCCCAGAAGGGGAAGCCTGGGGTCATTGCCGTCCCTGTGGAGCTCCTGGAGGCCCCGCCACCCCTGAAAGGGCCCCTGCTGGCACCGCCTCCCCTAGGAGGGCCCCTTGGGGCACTGCCACCTTTGGAAGGGTCCCTGTTGTTGCCCCCGTCCCTGCTAGGGCCCCTGGGGATGCTGCCAAACATGGGAGGTACACTGGGACCGCCACCGGCTCTGAAACGTCCCCTGGGGCGCCAATGGGAGGGACCGTGTGTACACCAATACCCCTCGAGGGGCCCCTAGGGGCGCTGCAACTGATATGGCAGATGGGAGGGCCCTAGGGGGTACTTGTTTTCCTACTATTTAGATCACTGGGAGATATGGTGATAAATAAATACACTGCCCATCACATTTCCAGTACCATCGCATCATGAAAAATGTAAAGGAGAATAAATATCCAACAGGAAAACATAAGTTGTGGTGTTGTGCTGACTGAACACTCTGTTCCCCTATTGGCTGTTATTTGGTTGCTTTATCCACCAATCACAGTTAGGTAAGTGATTACTGGACTTATGCACTATGTATGACACAATTTGGAGGGCCCCTGGGGGAGGTGCCACCCCTGGGAGGGCCCCTAGGGGCACCAGCGCTTCTGGGAAAACCCCTGGCGGCGCAACCGGCCCTGGGCGGGCCCCTGGGGGCGGCACCGGCCCTGGGACGACGTTTGTGGGTGCTGTCGCCCAAGGGAGGGCCCTTGGGGTCGTTGCCGCCTCTTGGAGGGCCCCCGTCACTCCCGGGAGGGCCCCTGTGGATTACGACGCCCCTGGGAGGGAAGGTTTCTAAGTCCCGGAATTATTTTCGTCATTCTTCGCTGCACCGACTCTAGTGAATTTATATCCATTCTATAATAAGGGCACCAGAACTGAACCGCATAATCGAGGTGCAGCCTGACTAGCGCAAGATATAGTTGCAATAAGACCTCTGCACTCTTATTATTTACGCTTCTAGATATAAAACCTAATACTCTGTTTGCCTTATTTCGAACATTAACGCACTGTTTTCTAGGCCGTAGGTCCGGGTTTACAAGTACCCCTAGGTCTCTTTCACAAGTCGACTTCTCTAGGTTGATGTTGTTAAGGCTGCATACATTGACAGTATTTGTTGTTCCAATATTAAGTACGCTGCACTTGCTGGTGTTGAATTTCATTTGCCATTTTTCTGACCACTCCTGCAGTTTATTTAAATCCTCCTGTAGTGCATTTGCATCCTGCCCTGAATTTATCTGTCGCCCTATTTTGGTGTCATCCACTAACTTACTTATGTCACTGCTGATCCCAGTATCTAGATTGTTTATGTAGATTATGAACAAGATAGCGATGGCGTCCCCAGGGGCCCTGCTAGGGACGTGGCGCTCCGAGGGGCTCTCCTTTGGGGCAGCAGCGCCTCAGAGGGCCCTTCTAGGGGAGGTAGCGCCCCCAGGGACCCTGCAAGGAATTGTGGCGCCTCCAGAGTCCCTTCCAGGGGCGGTGGCGCCCGCAGGGGCCCACCCAGGGACAGCGGCGCTGCGAGGTGCCAGCCCAGGTGCAACGGTGCGCCCCCAGGAGCTCAACCTTATGTGAGCAGCGCCCCCAAGGACCATGTTAGAGGAAGTGGCTCCCCATGGGCCCTGCCAGGGATAGCGGCGCCCCTAAAGGTCGTGCCAAAAGCGATGGCGCCCCCAGGGATTCTACCAGGGATAGCAGCGACCCCAGGCGCCCTGCCAGGGGCAGTGACACACCAAGGGGCCCTCCCAGAGACAGCAGCGTACCCAGGGGCCCTGCCAGGGATGGAGACGACCCCATGGGCCCTGTCAGAGACAGGGGCACCCCCAGGAACCCTCCGAGACACAGCGACGCCCCCAAGAGCTCTGTTAGGGGCAGTGGTGCAACCAGGGGCCCTCTCAGACACAGCGGCACCCCCAGAGAGAGGGTGGAGAGAGGGAGGTGGTGGTGGGTGGTGGGTGGAGTGGGTGGGTGGGAGGGAGGGAGGGAGGGAGAGTGGAGTAGGAGGGAGGGAGGGAGGAGGGAGGGAGGAGGGAGGGAGGAGGGAGGGAGGAGGGAGGGAGGAGGGGGGAGGGAGGTAGGGGTGAGCGCACAAAACCCTCATGCACACACACACACTCACACACACACACACACACACACACACACACACACACACACACACACACACACACACACACACACACAGAAACCAAAATATTCTCACCTGGGGAAGGAAGGTGAGAGAGAGGCCCAGTGAACCTCCTTAAGTAAAATCTAGGAGGAACTAAACACCTGTATAAAGACGCGTGGGTTTAAATGGCCCAGATTTAGTGGTGCAAGTTTGCATTTAAATGTCCTATTTTAGTTTAGAGAGTGTAAGAACGAGAGGAGAGACGAGGAGGCGGAGGAGGAGGAGGAAGAGGTGGGAAGGGAGGTGAGGGAGGAGGAGGAGGGAGGTAGGTGGGGGTGAGGGAGGAAAGGAGGGTAGGTAAGGAAGGGAGGGGAAGAAGTGAAAGGTGGGTAAAGGGAAGAAGAGAAGGAGAGAGAAGAAGAGTGGGGTGAGTGACTAGGGAAGATGAGAGGAAGTAAGAGGAGGAAAAAAAGGAAGAGGGAAGGGGAAGGAGGGATGTTGAGGAGAGGGGGCTAGAAAGAAGGAGGAAGAAGGAATGATATAGATATGGAAGAGGAGGAGGAAGGAAGAGGATGTAATAAATATGAAGAAGAGGGAAAAGAGGAAGGAAGGAAGGAAGGGAGATAAAGATAAGGAAGAGGGAAAGTGGTGGATGGGTGAGTAAGAACGGTGAATGAATGGAAAGGGGAATCGGAGAACAAAGAAAGAAAAAAAAGGATGAGAGAAGCAATGGAGAGGAAGAAGAGAGAGAGAGAGAGAGTGGGGGGGGGACAAAACTTGAAAGAAGAATAAATAAAAGATATGAAAGTAAATAACAATACAATAAGGAATAAACAAACTAAATTTACTCGAATTCTCCCTCTCCTCTTTCTCTATTTGTATCTCTGTCTGTCTTTCTAACTGTGTCTCTCTCTTGTTGTGTGTGTGTGTGTGTGTGTGTGTGTGTGTGTGTGTGTGTGTGTGTGTGTGTGTGTGTGTGTGTGTGTGTGTGTCCTTCCACTGACAGAGTCCGAAAAGTAAAAGAAAGATAAACACAGTTGTCATCTTACCTAAATCTATCACTAGGAAATCTACGGACTTGGCGCACCCACATTCAACCACAACAACCAAATATCAAAGCCTGATCTATACATTACAGGTATGTTAATTAGTGCCGTGTCAACCATAGGTGAACTGGAAGCTTCATATGCTCACCAGACTTAAATATCTCCAGTAATTGATTGTTGTGTTAACTTGTCTCAGTTCGTTGAGGTGGTATGATTGAGACAAGTACAAACGAATTGAATTGGACTTTGGTGGAGCTTCTTTTTGGATTCAACTCTGGCTTCAGGTTGTACCCGGTGTGAAGCCTTACGTGTTCCAACCTTGAACATGACAGTCAGACTCCCAGCATCTCTCCTGCGTTGTATTGTGTGTTGATATGACAGATCCTGCCAGTTCGTGTCCAGGCTGCAGCTGAACTCTCCCATCTATCTTGGCCGGGAGTGGATGGCAGCACGAGGGACGAACCAGCCAGAAGGTCGGTGCTTGTATTTAGGATATAAGCGACCATCAGGTAGTTAGGAAGGTAGTCTGTAGGTTCATCATGGATCTTTTTACCTTCTGGAGTTTCATCAGAAGAACTTTAGTGCTAAAACTAAATCAAACTGCACCAATGATGTCGAAAGCAACCATACAGTAGGTAACATCAAAGTCATCAAACACCTGGCATTACAGACAAGATATATTGAACAGGAGATTATTATACTACCACAGTTTAACATGAAATAGTTATATGCTTAATACAAAGTCAAAGGAATAATATTTTCCACATAACCAGGAGCCACAACATCAATGGACTAGGGAGTGTATGAATCGTTGAAACACACACACTACAACATACACACACACACACACACTACATCATACACACACACACACACACACACTACAACACCAATACCACGTCCCTGTTCACCTTGCAACATCCACACAAAATACAGCGAGTAAATCTGTGATAAAAAAAAAACAAATCAGACCTTAGGTGTCTTGCCAACTAATGTCACCCAAGACTGACTCAAACGCTGCCACCAAATCGATGATAAATGTTCACAAAAATTCTACAGTGACATTGTGTGTGTGTGTGTGTGTGTTGATGTAGTGATTCCTCGTGTTGACACTTTTGCCTGGGTGACAGTGGAGGTGTGTTTTGTTGTTTGTTTTTCTTAACCGGATCTGTGCCACGCCCGTATTGACTCTCTCTCTCTCTCTCTCTCTCTCTCTCTCTCTCTCTCTCTCTCTCTCTCTCTCTCTCTCTCTCTCTCTATTCTTTACTGTATCATCACGTGCTCTGAGAAAAGGTTGGAAAGGAGAAAGGGAAAAATAAAGTAAAGTATATAGTGTGCAAGAGGGTTAGGAGAAAGGTGAAAGGGGAGGAGATAAGAGGTGAGAGAAGAGGAAGAATGGGAGGGAGATAAATAAAAATAAAAATGAGAAATGGAAACAAGGAAATGGAAAATAATTGAGAATAATATTAAAGAAATTTAGATAAATGTAGAGACAAAGTAAAGAAAAATAGAGATAGAATAAATAATAAAGGGAGAAATAATTATTGAGAGACATATTGATGAGAAATGAGTTATAAGAGACGGAACGAAATGAGAAATAATAAAAAAAGTAAAAGGCAGAGAAAGAAAGACAAAAAGGGAGAGAAAGAGAAAGGGATGGACTAAAAGACAGAGGTCAGAGATAAATGATAAGAGGTGAGATAAGGAGACAGAGAGGGGAGATATAATTTTTGGAGACAATATCCATTTGTCTATCAGCGTAACCATTTTTCTCTATCTATCTATCTATAACTTCCCTTCTGAGTTTAATCAACAACAATTTACTTTCTTTCTCTCTCTCTCTCTCTCTCTCTCTCTCTCTCTCTCTGTCTCTCTCTCTCTCTCTCTCTCTCTCTCTCTCCTGACAAATGACCATCGACTGTCCGTGTCAGCCACTAAAAACTTAATTGAGTCATTATTGTTAATATTTAATAGAAAATGCAATTAGTGGATCTATCAGACTGCTA